GGGGGTTGGGAACATGGGATAACTTTCTATATGTGATTTTCACGCCTATTGCCTCAGATCTTGTATAATGTCAGGCGAAGCTCCATTCAAAATCCAAGAAGGGAAACCTTAGGCCCTCCCATTGTTACAGAGAAAAGGACTTTTACTGAATCCGAAGCGGTAGCATCAGAAGATTTCTTGGATTTTGACGGGCGCTTCCCCTGACACGACGTCTCTCAATCACCCTTGTGCGCCAAACCTTCAACACCCCTTCTAAGAGTTGGAAGCTGACCCTTCACAGCAGAATTAGCCCTCCAGCAAAAACCCTTTCGCTGCTCCGAGCTGTTAGTGACAGCAGGATAATGCAGAACGAGATTTCTCTGCTTTCTCCCTTATTGATTTTTTTTCTCCCCTCCGTAATAAGTTACCCTCCGTGAAACCGTAAGTAAGCGAAGCTCGTTCTTTGCAGCTCTTACCGGAAGCGCCGGCGGTAGATTTCCTATCAAATGCGGTTACAAACTTGGGGGAAAAAGGAGGTGCACGGGGGGGGGGGGGGGGGGAGCAGAACTGCTTACTTAAGACTTAGAAATTGTGGGGTGGGCGAAAAACCCGAAGGATCCAAGCGATGTGCCAATAGCTTCATGTCAGTTTTTTTCAGCCACCCTGAGCGGCTACTGCTGGTTTCTCATTTGGTTTTCTGGTATCTCGTTCGCTTTCCCGCAAGCGCTAATTTTACATTGGTTGCGATAAATAAAGGGCTGACAACAATAAAACGCTGCGTCTTTTTCAGAGCTGCGATAGGGATGGTTTTTAATTGCCCAATTATACCTCCCAGAAGGAGGCTGAGAGATGCTTCTCTACCTGATTGGTTACGACAGGATTGTATATTGGAAGATTTAGGTACAAGTAGTAGTAGCCTTGGACTTACAAAGCAGTCATTTAGTGATTGCTCGAAGCTACAATGGCACTGAAAAAAAAGTGACTTATGACTGGTTTTCGCACTTAACGACCGCTGCAGCGTCCCCGTAGTCACGTGATCAAAATTTAGATGCTTGTCAACTGACTCATATTTATGACCGTTGCAACGGCCCGGGGTCATTTGATCCCCTTTTGCGACCTTGTGACCAGCAAAATCAAAGGGGAAGCCAGATTCACTTAACAACCTTAAGAACTGCAGGGATTCTCTTAGAAACTTTTGGCAAGAAAGGTGGCAAAAGGGACCCTACAAAGGTCTCACATAGCTGCAGAAATTTCGGGCTCAATTGTGGTCGTAAGTAGGTAGTCCTTGGATTACGACAGTTGGTTTAGTGACTGTCCAAAGTTACAGTGGAACTGGAAGAAGTGACCTATGACTATTTTCACACTTAACCTTTGCAGCATCCCCGTGGTCACAGCTTGGCAACTGACTCATGTTTAACGAAGGTTGGTCTTCTACGGATTTCCTGTTTTTGCCATCTTGTTTTCACATTGTTTCGTCATGAATTCCTAAGCATGGCAATCCCCAAACTTTCTGGCTTTGCAGATTGGTAGAGTTGTGGGTGGAGAGGGGATAGTTTTGTGTGAATGATTTCTCTCTCTCTCCCTCTCCCTCTCTCTCCCTCTCTCCCCCCTCACAAACACACACACAAAACAAACAGTTCTTTACATATTTCACTTCCAAAAGCCCCAACAGAGCACGCCCATCTTGTGAGGCCTCCACAGCCTCCAAAAACTGTGTGAGAACTAGGTGCACGTCCAAGAAGAATTGTCAGGTGTTAACAGAATAATATGGTTGGAAGGGTCCTTGGAGGTCTTCTAGTCCAACCCCCTGCTCAAGCCAGAGACCCTCTACCATTCCAGACAAATGGCTGTCCAGTCTCTTCTGAAAACCCTCCCGTGATGGAGTACCCAAAACTTCTGGAGACAGGTCCTTCCACTGATTAATTGTTCTCACTGAGGTGAAATTTCTCCTCAGTTCTAGGTTGATTCTCTTGGTCGTTTCCCTGGTTAATTATTCTTGGTGCCAGGAAATTTCTCCTTAATTCCAGGTTGCTTCTCTCCTTGAATTAGAGTAGAATAACAGAGTCGGAAGGGACCTTAGAGGTCTTCTAGTCCAACCCCCTGCTTAGGCAGAAAACCCTTACACCACTTCAGATAAATGGCTGTTCCAATCTCTTTAAAACTTCCAGTGTTGGAGCATCCACAACTTTTGGAGGCTAGTTGTTCCACTGATTCATTGTTCTCACTGTCAGGAAATTTCTCCTTCGTTCTAAGTTGCTTCTCTCCTGGATTAGTTTCCCTCCATTGCTTCTTGTCCTGCCCTCAGGTGCTTTGGTGAATAGCTTGACTCCTTCTTCTTTGGGGCAGCCCCTGAGATACTGGAAGACTGCTATATGTCTCCCCTAGTTCTTCTTTTCATCAAACTAGACATGCCCAATTCCAGCAACCGTTCTTCATACGTTTTAGCCTCCAGCCCGCTAATCCTCTTTATTGCTCTTCTCTGCACTCTTTCTAGAGTCTCAACATCTTTTTTACATCCTGGAGACCAAAACTGAATGCACTAGCTTCCACCAGTCGTTTCTTGCCCTACCTTCTGATGCTTTGGAGAATGGGTTGACTCCCTCTTCTTTGAGGCAGCTCCTTCAATATTGGAACACTGCTATCATGGCCCCACCTAGTTGAATGCTGGCCTGTCACCCCAAATTCATGGTTCTGTCATCTCTGACACATGGCAATATTGATGAGACTGCGAATTTGGAAATTATCCTAGGAGAAGCATTTAGGAAGTTGCTTACATGTTATTGCCAAGAAAACGTGATGGATGCATCCATGAAGTCAAACTCGGTTTGTAGAAATCTTTAAAAAAAACAAACAGCTGTCATTTTTTTGCCAAGTGCTTGGCAATTTTTGGTCACAAGGGGACTTATTCAAGAAAATGTTCCAAATCATTTTATTTTCATTTTTTAAATAACGCTGCAGTTGGAAGCAATTACATGAATGTTTGAAACATACAGTTGCGATCAATTTTTCTTTTATTTCCAGTAGAGGAGACTGCAGTTATGTTGGATTTCTTGGAAATTTTTCCAGTGTCCTCAATGGTCTGGAATCTAATTAAGCATTATTGGTGCCTTTTTTTTAGTAAAATAACTTAAACATTACCCCAGATTAATTTTACTTGCTACACAAATATCTTAACTTTTCTTTCTTTAGCCCAAAGCATTTCTAAGAATATTGAATATTTTTTATTCAAATTAGATGACATGCGCTAAATGAGTTTCGATTAGCCCAGTAAGACAGGATTTATTTGGAAATTGTAGCAGTTCCAACATATTATTTCAGTTCAAAAAAATGCTATTTTGAAAAGTTGCTGAATTCATTATTTCCCTTCATGATATATTTTAGATGGGAGAAAATAAGACTTTGAAAATGAAGCTGTATAAATCTGAGTATAGTTAATCCTCAACGTACAACAGTTCATTTAGTGACCGTTCCAAGTTACAACAGCACTGAAAAAAGATGACCGTTTTTCACGCATACACATTGCGGCCTCCCCATGGTCACATAATCAGAATTCAGATGTTTGGCAACTGACTCATATTTATGACGGTTGCTGTGTCCCCTTGGGGTCACGTGATCCCCTTTTACGACCTTCTGACAAGCGAAGTCAATGGGGAAGCCGGAGTCACTTATAACAACCGTGTTTGGAACATAAGAACTGCAATGATTCACTCAACACAACGGTGGCAAGAAAAGTCGTAAAATGGGAGAAAAACTCACTTCACAAATATCTCGCTTAGTGTCAAACTGGATTTCTTCGAGGGCCAGATCAGTATTGTATTTCTCTGCGGGCCGGCGGTGGGGAAGGGATGGAGGGAAGGGCGGTGTGTGGGGGGGGGAGACAGAGACAGGGGGGGCGGGACGGATGCTTCCCACACCACCTGGCTGTTTTTCGGCCTGTTTTGGGCCCGTTTTTTGGCTCATCTGGGGCCTGTTTCGGCCTGGTTGAGGCCTGGTTTCAGCAGGCAGAGTGCTGCAGGAGGCCATGGAGGGTGAAAGTGTGGTGCCAGGGGGGGACGGGCTCCCCGCACCCAGCTCGTTTTAGCCGCCAGAGGCACCACAGGCCGGTCCTTTGATAGTTCAAGGCCGGCCCCATGGGCTGGATTTAAGCACCCCGTGGGCCAGATCCAGCCTGAGGGCCTGAGTTTGACACCCCTGACATAAAGCAAGGCAGCTGTTAAACATGAGCGGCACCCAATTTTATGATTTTTGTCCCCACCATGGTTGTTAAGCAAATCACTGCCGTTGTTAAGTGAAGCCCAACTTTGTTAAGCGAATCTGGCTTCTCTCTTTGATTTTGCTTGTCAGAAATCAGCTGAGATGGTCATAAACGATGATAACATGATCCCCAGACATAAATGCATGCTGGTTTCCAAATACCTAAATGTTGATCACAGGATTGGGGGCAGGGTGTGCCGCAATGGTCATAAGTGTGAGAACCAATCATAAGTCACTTTATTCCACGCGGATGTAACTTTGAACGGTCATCAAACAAATGATTGTAAGCTAAGGACTACCTGCACAGGTAACCCTCCACTTAACAATCACAATCGAACCCCAAATTTCCCTTGCCAAGCAAGGCATGAAGTTAGCGTTGTCCCCTTTTACGACCCACATCTCTACGGTTGTTAAACGAATCCTGCCGTCGCTGAGCAAATCCGGTTTCCCCCGTTGACTTTGCTCATCCGAAGCCGGCTGGGAATGTGGCAAAAGGTGATCTCACACGACCCCAGAACAGTGACGTTATCATACATAACATGCCCGGACGTGTTGATCCCGGTGACCCTGGGGACGCCGCAGCCCTCGTAAGCGTGAAGGCCCGTCATAAGTCCCTGTCTTCAGTGCCGTTGTGACTTTGCACTTTAAAGAAACGGTTGCAAGTCGGAGACTACCTGTCATGCCAATTTGCTCTGTTCCTAACCTTTCCCCTTTCTTTCTTTTCCCGCCGCTCCCATCAGGATATGTTGCAGAGGGAAGGGCCAAGATAAGGGATCTCTTTGGACCCCCAGAAACCGACCGGCGTCCGATTCCTCCATGGAGCAGCACAAGGCCTGATGCTCACTTTGCCCCTCACCATGGACAGGGGGAGGAGTTACCACCCACCATGTACCCACCAGCAGCCCGGCAGCACACTGTATAGGACGCCCACCTTTCAAGCCCAGCTTGGCTTGCCCACCACTGAGGTGAGTTTTCCCTGGGAGATCGAGCCCTCAGATAGAAGGGGGTTTTAGCCACAGGTCAGCCTTTCTTCGATTATCCCTCACCGCAAGGCTTGGTTCACCGCTTGCACTAAGCCCTAATTTGCTTAGTCTTGATTTAGCCGGGTGCCTAGGTTAACCTAAGCCAGGGATGGCTAACCTTTCGGCACCAAGTGCCCAAAGCAGATTGAGAGAGCACCCCCCAAAACGCAATGAGCGCACATCCGTCACACATGTGTGCACGTCTCCCATGCAGGCGCATGCATCTCCAGTGCAGGCACCCCACCTCCCGCACGCGCCCTGCCCCCCTACGCATGCATGGCAGAGACCCGAAGACCAGCTGGCCAGCGGGAGGTGGGTGCGCATGCGCGGTGGAGCTGAGCTGGGGCGAAGGTTCGCAGACCCACAGAGAGGGCTCTGCATGCCACAGGTTCACCATCACAGAGCTAAGTCTTAAACCATGGTTTACAAGCTACAGCCATTCAGGTTCACACATTATACCAGTGTTTCTTAATCTTGGTCACTCTCAGAGGGGTGGACTTCAACTCCCAGAATTCCTCAGCCAGGAGTGTTTATCAACCTTGGCCCCCTTCAGATGGGGGGTGGGTGGACTTCAATTCCCAGAATTCCTCAGCCAGGAGTGTTTGTCAATCCTGGCCACTTTCAGATGGGGGATGGGTGGACTTCAACTCCCAGAATTCCACCAAGAGTGTTTGTCAATCTTGGCCACTTTCAGATGGGGTATGGACTTCAACTCCCAGAATTCCTCAGCCAGAAGTGTTTCTTCAATCTTGGCCACTTTCAGATGCGGGGGGGGACTTCAACTCCCAGAATTCCTGCTGCTAAGTGAGACATTCCTTGCCACATTTGTTAAGTGAATCCCTGCAAACTGTTAAAGAGAGCCACACAGTTGTTAACCGAATCTGGCTTCCCCACTGACTTTGCTAGTCAGAGGGTCACCAAAGGGGGGATCACATGACCCCGGGATCCTGCAACCGTCATAAATATGAGTCAATTGCCTGAATTTTGATCACGCAGACATGGGGCTGCTGCAACAGTTTGTAAGGTTGAAAAATGGTCATAACTCACTTTATTCAGTGCCGTTGTGACTTTGAACGGCCACTAAACAAACTGTCATAAGCCAAGGACTACCTGTATAAACTTCAGGTTGAGAGCAGCTGCAGGTGGCCTTCCGGATTCAGTCTCGGCCAATAGAGAGAGCCCTAGTTGGGAAGTTTGGTTATGTTCAACTCTGTTTTTATCAGCACAGAGATGCAGAGAGGCCCCTCTTCAGATCACCGAAGGACGTGCCTTTAAAATGCAACAAGCCTTTTCTTTGAGGATAGCGGTGTGGCTCTTAAAACAGTGTTTCCTGACACTGGCAACTTTAAATTATGTGGAACTTCGACTCCCAGAATTCCACGGTCGGCCATGTTGCCTGAGGAATTCTGGGAATTGAGATCCACGAATCTTGAAGTTGCCACGGTGGGGAAACTTCCTTAAGAAGAGGCACACCTAGTTTAAATGGTTGCAGAGAGCTGCTAGAACTGTTTCCTCAGTGTGTGCCAAACTACAAGTGGTCCTTGACTTACAACAGTTCGATTAGTGACCGTTCAAAGTTACAGCGGCACTGAGGAAAGTGACTGATGACCCTTTTTCACACTTATGACTGTTGCAGCATCCCCATAATCACGTTGACCAAAAGTCAGGTGCTTGGCAACTGACTCCTATTTATGGCATGATCCCCTTTTGCGACCTTCTGACAAGCAAAGCCAGATTCACTTAACAACCGTGTTACTAACTTAAACAACTGTAGCAGCTCACTTAACAACGGTGGCAAGAAAAGTCGTAAAATGGTCCCAATCTCACTTAACAAGGGTCATATTTAGCAACAGAAATTTGGGGCTCCATTGTGGCCGTAAACCGAGGATTATCTGTACTTCTTGCCATTGAAGCAATACACAGGACTAATACCTCTGCTCATAGACGCTTTAGGCTTGGAAAGCTTAAACCAGCAGCTTAATATTCCACTTTTTACTAGACAAACTGTGATCCCTTGGATCCTTGTTTCAGAGGTATTTCCTTCCCAGATGTCTCAGTCCCTTCAAAGTGGCAGAGCTCTTAATGCGCTGCCTTCGCTGGAAGTGTTCTTAAAAATTCAGGGATACGCTCAGAGGTGTGTTTGCCTTGAACGTAGCTCTTGTACAACTATCTAGCCCGGTGAAATATTACGGTGTGAACTGACCGTAGGAAATGTTCTGTGTCTATGACAGTGGTTCTAAACCTGTGATCCCAGAGGCCTGGGGGCTGCAATATCATCACGGGGTCCGCAAAGCCTTGAAGAAATGTTAAGATTTAAATTTGAGTGAAGTCTTGGGGGTCCATGGCCACGGTCCGTGGCTAGAAAGGGCATTGAAAGGGGCTCCGTGGTGAAGAAAACGTTGAGAACCACCATTATATGGCATTTTGTGTTATGTCATAAAATGCTTTTTTTAACAGAATAACAGAATTGGAAGGGACCTTGGAGGTCTTCTAGTCCAACCCTCTGCTCAGTCCATCCCATAATAGCTTGATCCCCTCTGCTTTGTGGTAATCCCTGAGATATTGGAAGACTGCTATCATGTCACCCCAAATCCTTCTTTTCATTAATCTATTCTAGACATGCCCAGTTCCTGGAACTGTTTTTCGTATGTTTTAGCCTCCGGTCCCCTAATCATCTTGGTTGCTCTTCACTGCACTCTTTCTAGAATCTCAACATCGTTTTTTATATCCTGGCAACCAAAACTGGATGAAATTATTCCAAGTGTGGTCTTACCAAGGCATTATCAAGTGATATTAGCTACTTCTATTCTGTTACTCTGGTACAGACACAAAGGTTTTAGTAGTCATAGATTTAATCAAGGAGAGGATGGTTAGACGGATCTGGAAGTTTTGCTTCAGTAGCATTTATTAGAATTCTTTTTAGCAGAATTCTAAGACATTAAACCGAAACTACAGGCCCAAGTGGAAATTAAGAAAGGGAATTTGTTGTTTCCCATATTTCTGTGTTTGAGGAAGCAGCACCAGTTCTGCATTCCACAAAGGTGTTCTTTATTTATGGGTTGGCTGGTTTATGAGATCTATAGGCTGCTGTAACTCTGGGTGGCTTTTATAAATAGATGTATTTATTTATTAAGTAAATTTATATGGTCAGCCAACTCATTTACAGTGCCTCTGGGCAGCTTACAGAAATAAACTGCCACCCCAATGTAAAGCCCACTAAACCCCCAAACTCTCTGGCGACAACCATCAAGCTGATCACCTCATGGATTCCGCGTCACCCTGGAGTCCCCAGGCCCGTGTCTTAAGGGTTGTTTGAAAGGTTTATTTTCCAACCCGTGGCAAGAACGGTCATAAAACAGACTGCAACTCGCTTAACAATCGCTTTGCTGACAATGGGAATTCTGTGGTCATTAAGTCAAGGACTAGCCGTACTTGTGAAATAATAAGGGGGAATCTTCTGTAACCAAGGCCTTTGGCTTACCATACTTTGCTGTGCATTCTTGCTGTTGCTGTTTCAGTCATTCTGGGCTCCCAGTTGCAAGCAGGTGGTCAGTAGTAACCCTTGTAAGTAGAGTATGTACATACGTACTTACTTGTTTATAAAATTTATTGGCTGCCCATCTTACTGCGAGGTAACTCTGGGTGGTTTACAGACATACATAACAGATTAAAACCTAAATGAATTAAAACCAAAGATGGATTGATGATATATGTGTGTGTGTATGTAAGATTGATTGATTGACTGATTGATTTAAATTTTATTGGCTGCCCGTCTTACCATGAGATAACAACTCTGGGCGGTTTTAAACCAGTCAGTCAGTCATTCAGTCCATCCGTCTGTCCGTCCATCCGTCCATGTATCTATTTCTATCTATTAATAAAATATATTGGCTGCCCATCTTTCCATGAGGTAACTGGGTGGTTTACAGATATAAAAAATACACACACATTAAAACCTAAATAAATTAAAATTAAAGATTGATCGATTTTCTCTCTCTCTCTCTCTCTATCTTATCTATCTATATCTATCTTACCTATCTCTCTCTCTCTCTCTCTCTC